ACAAGGCAGCATGCAGAAAGCCACTAGCCACAACAGTTTATTGAGCAAGTTTTTAAACAGAAAATACGAAAATTACACATTACGCATACGCCACGTTGTACATAACGCGTCGTATACTAACAAAGAGATAAATGCATACAAACCAATTGATAATAAGACTGCTTCGTGCGATTTGTATTACAAAATCAAAACTTCTTATACTAAAAACAAGTTGCTATGCATTATGTATGAACAATCCGCCTAGGCGACTAAAATATCAGACGTCGTATGCTATAAAAGCAATTTTTTAGCTAAACCTGAATACAATATAATTAATTAACATAAATACGAAACTTATTGAAAGAATAGAATAAAGCTTTTTTTCAACATTCTAGAATTTAATTTTTTATAAAATCATACTTTATAATAATACTAAGATCCACTCAACTAAACACGCCAGTCATTTAATCATAGTGCATAACAAAAAGTGTTTCATGCGTTCAAAATCAGATTAAGGTGAATTAGATTTTGCTGCTGCAATACACATTCATAATATTATCTTATGTAAAAGAGTTGGATTTGCGAAAATTATTGTATCAAAAGTCAAAAAATAAATAAAATATGAAACAACTAATAAAACTCGAAAACTCGAAAACTCAAAAACTCGGCTTTTAAAGCCGAGTTTTATCTAATGAAACTGAAACCTTAAAACGAAGTCAATAGGTGAGTTGCATCGATTTTGGTTTGTTTCGCTTTTATATTTTAGCTTAATTTTTTCTAGATACTCGCCCTCTTTATGTTCATATGAGTTTGCTTAATTGTCTTTGAATCTGCACAACCTTCACCTCAAGCTCAGCTTATAGTGTGGTCTTTAATATTTTATAATTTTTACTTAGTTTCATTTTTGTACTTTAGCAACGAAACAACTTCAACAACTTCAACCCGACAAGATACATAAAAAGCATAAGAAAAAACATATAAACTACATTAAGTTTATTTAAATGATTGCATCTGCCTAACAAGGTTGGCGCAGTGTAACATGTTCATGTAAACGTTTTACTTAATGAAGCCATTGTAGGTTCGTAAACTTCGTTTATGATTGCCTTTCTGCTCATCCACATAACGTTTAATTGCTCAAGTGTTTTATGTTTTTTTAAATTTTTAATAATAATTATGTAATGTATATAGTTCACTTAATTTTGAGGAAATATTACTGTACACGAATTTCAAAATTGAAAAATTTAAATCAATTTCATATAACCAACTTAAAAGGTAACTATGAGGTTTATTCGACCATATAAGAACTTCTTTTGAAAGGTATACATTAAACCTGGAATTATAAAACAAAGCAGTATAGAAGAAAAATGACTACATGTTTGTTACAGTCAACGTAAGTCACTAAATGAGACACAACACTACCTCTCTCTTAGTAAGGATTTTAGTACGTCAAAAACTATATATAACATATATCTATAAGATTTTAAGTCTTTGACAATCGTATGCGATAACGTTGCTCACTGTGTTCGATCCTGAAGGTATAGCTGAAAAAAAAAGAACGCTTACTCTGTTAAACAATGGAATCAAAATACAAGTACTCTAAATGAAATGTATATGAATGAAATGTATATATGTATATGAATATCTATCAGTCATCTGCGGCTAACTATATTATCATCGTACTGTAAAAATTCCAATACATTGAGCAGCTCGATTTAAAAATAAATATTAAAAAACTTTTTTAAACAAAATTAAAGTACGACTAAAACTATCACAATCCGACGAGAGCATATTTTGTATCAAAGAAACATCTGCACAGAAGTATTCTTTAATACCCTTTGAGAATACCGTGTTCTTATACAATATAAAGAAAAAAAAGTCCACAAAGAATTGATCCATTTATTAGCATATTCCAACATGGATTAAAAGTCTTTTACGTACAGCTGAGGTGTTCTGCATAACTTGCCCTATTACTTCAGAAACTAAAGATATAATTGCTCAATTTAGAACACTATGTGACGGGCAACTAATGTTCGAGCTAAGTTATACAGGCTTTATATTATTATATAAACAGCAATAAATAAATATTAAAAATACGTGTGCACTGTCCTTATCTTTAAGCTCCCAGTGCCAAATCTCCGACTATAATAACACATAAATAAAGAAGCCTTGAAATAATTTCTTTTGACAATATAACATCTGCTTAGATATAACTTTTGAAATTATTCTAGAAATTATTATTCTTGAAAGATTATGAAACAATATAAGTATATATGCTATATACAAACACATAATAAATCTTTAAAGTAACAGTTCCAGATCCTTGACTATAATAATACATATATAAAGATGTCTTAAAATCATTCATTTTGACAATACAGCAACTTTTGAAATTATTCTAGAGAGATTGTTAAAACAAAATAAGTGCTATATATACGCCCAATAGATCTTCAAAGTGACAGTTTCAAATCCCCAACCATAATAATACATATCTGGAAAAGTTTTTAAAAAAATTCTTTAAACAATACAACAGCACTTCTGGCAAATCTTTGGAAAATTTTTTGGAGTTAAATACATATTAAGATTAAGAAAAATATTAGCTTCTGCAGATTTAGGTCTTTCGACTTATCTCTTCCAACTAAAATGAAATTTTAACTTTTAATAATAGTTTTAAGTTTTCCTTATATTTTATTTTTTTTTTATTATATTTGTTATTAATTCAACAGGTGTGTTTTAAATATTGTAACCTTTAAACTTTAAGCAAAAACTACTGATTGAAATATGCGGAAGCTTTGACTAATATTAAGTAACAAAATAATTCGCAATTTATTGAAAACGTGCAGTAAAACAGGAAACTGCAAAAAAGATACTTTTTTTGTTCATTGTTTATTGAATACCCTTTCAACTGGTGATTGGATTGCTATGCTTTTCGTTAAGTGAATCTCAAATTCTCTTCATATAATAAACATAATAATAAGTCACAATTTTTTTTTTAAATGATGTGATTTTAAAGTTCATTTTAAATTCAAGGGGGCTTAGAGCTTTATAATAATATAAAAATAATTATAAATATGTACATACAATATATGGGTAAGTAGTTATAATTTGTTTAGATTTTATTGTCAGCTCAATTTTCTAATGAGATGAAAGGCATAGACTATAGTAATGAAAATAAATTTTTTTTTGTGACCTATATCTAATACGGAATAAAAACTGCTGACATAAGAATTAAAAATGGAAACCCAAAAAATAGGTATTTTAATGCATTTTTTATTGAGTATAAAATTTTAAATTTTATTATTTATATACTTTAGGTTTATATAATTTAAGATTTAAAAAGCAACGAAACATCGGTTTAGAAAGATATAACAAAACTTTTCTAAATTGTGTTGTATTAGGCTACTTGCGTTTAACTATTGTTATAAATAAAAATTTTTTTCAAAATATTTTATTCTCTTTTTGTCAACAAAATATTCTGTGACTAAAGAAATTAAATTATACAACGGATACTGACAACTATACCCGTTATAAATTTTTGCATTATATATTTTGTTAGTTCCTTAAAGATCACTATCGAAGATAATCGAAATGTTGAAATAGTACTTCAATAAAATATAATTTGTTTAAATCTAAATAATAAATTATAGTTTTTAATTAAATTACCAATTAGCCAGCTTAAAAATTATTATAACAATTTTTTTATTAATTCTTCGACTAAAATTGTCTTCAGAAAATTAACAATTTTGTATTAAAATACCTAATTGGTATTAAAATATTTAAATACATATTGGTGGACAAAACATTTATATTGAAAAATAAAAGTTTTTAAGATAACAATAAATTATAGAATCCTGCACCTTTTTATTGATGTATAATACTTTCATACATCTGGGAGTAGTTTTCAGTGTAAGTTTTAAAATAGATAATGGTGCTGGACTTATTCATTTATTATTTAAAAAAAATCCAAAATATCTTAAATTAATACAAATCTAATTATTTAAATAAGCTGGTCAAATATTATTAACAACAAATGTTGGTGGTTGATTACAGTGGCAGAACAATCAAGGAAGCAACATATACTTATCATTTTACCTTTCGATTAAATACTTTAATACTTTAATATGTAATATGTATTACTGGCAATGCAATATTTTTTATTTTTAGAAAAATAAAATAAAAATATTTAATTATAAAATAAACAGTTTGCAAAACATTACATCTATCGGTTGAGTGTTCACACACACCTCATCTTCATCATAAAATATTTAAAAATAATTAAAACCCCGCAATGGATGATGAAAGGAAACTTGTAAAACAGGAAAAAGTTTTGCTTAACTGAAGCACAATATATCATGGCTTACATATTACCTCGTGCTTCCAGATGCAGTGCTTTACGCCCCTGGTTAACTCATTGAAGACTCTTCTGCCATATGTGACGACTGGTCAACTGGTTAAAACTACTTTTACTACGAAACGGTGTCAGCAGTGTCAAAATGTAGCGTATTTCAAAAAAAAGAAAAGAAATTCACATAATAAAAAGTCTTTTCCACAAAAATGTTCGCAAAATTTGTCCAATCCACTCCACATACACTTACAAAACAATATTTTTTTGAACCAATTTATATAGGAGTAAAGTAAACAAGTCTCATATGGGCACACAACTCACTCACTTTCGATTTCGTTATGAGTAAAACGCTCCGTTAAACGCCCATAAGGCACATGCAAATGCTTAAGCTGGGTAATTTCAAGCGCACGCATACATACACACACACATGCTTACAAGTATTAAAAGCTTACACACACTTTTTCACACTCCAATTGCAGTCTAAAAGGAATTTCATTGAAGCAGTAAATTTTTATGGTTCTCTTAATTTGTTCGATTTTGTTGATATTGGAATGAGCTCAAACTCTTTGTTGCTCTTTTCATATTACGTTAACTCAAAATGAGTATAAGTGTCTTGTAAGCCACCTTTAAGCTGTCAGTTGGCGCGCTTAAAGCCTCACTAAAAGCAGAAGAAGAAAACTGTTTAAATTTGTGGTGGCAACGTTAATATTAGTGATTTTGAGCTTTAGTCTTTTGTTGTGTGATAAAACTACGTTAGTAATCAATTGTAAGCCCAACTGCTAAGACACGGAATTAAACGCGTTGTCGTTGTCGTGAGTTTCTTAACTGAGGATACTAAACTGTTTAATAAAAAACTGTTTACTTTTTTTTTGTTATCCAAGTAGCTGCGCTTAAACTATAATTGTACGTGTTTTAAAAATTTCATTATTTTTTATAAAAACTATTTAGGTTTTATGTATTTTCTTGCATTAATTTTTTTTTGTTTTTTTGATTTTAACCTATATTAAGTGACTTTTGCCAGGTTGTTTACAAAACTTTATATATATGGTGTTAATTTGATTTTAAGCAATTTTTTTGATTTAATTTGATTTGATTTTTTTCCACTGATTATTGCATTTGTTATATTTTTTATGTGTTGTGTAATAGGCAATGTTGTAATGAACGAACAACAAATTAAATAAAATAACCGCATACAAAAAGTAAAAGCAACTAAACGTATTTTTACAAGCCAAAAGAGTAAATTTGCATTTTGAGTCAAATAAGTGTTATACTATATCATTTGAATAAAATATAACAATATATAAATAAATCAATTGTAAGTATGTATGTTAAATTTTTATGTAATTAGCTGTGTAATTCCCTGCTAATACAATAATTAGAAAGCAAATAAGTTATAGACGTTTAAAATGCAACAAATTGCATTTATTTATCTTGCAATTAAAGTACAAAACTGCTAACTAGACGTAACTGTCAAACTAACAGCAAACAAAATGATTTTAGAACAAATATAAATCACAAAATTTATCGAAATGTTATATATGTAATTAACATTGTTAGCAACTGTTTAAAAATGTTGCAAAACATTTTTAAAACCAACAACACGAAAAGTTTACTTTAAATAATACAGCGACTGTTATGGCAGCAAGGAAAGCATTAAAAAATAACATAAGAACAGAATACATGCTCTTATGAAAAACTGTTATAATTAATAGCTTCCTAATAACAGTCAGCAGTCACATTAATCGAAAGTGACTTGTAGATAAAGTAAAACTTTGCTACACAAAGCATGAAACTCGAACACAAAGTCCAAGCCTGTTGCTTGTTATTTAGAAGAAGAAAAAATGCAACCAGCAAGTATAAGTTCTGTACGTATGGCATTGCATAAGTAAATCTACTAGTTTTTAATATTCGTAATAATTTAGCCAGTTTTAATGCTGAACTAGTTTGCATGCATGTTCACAGTAGTTCATTACTTTGAAAGTTAATAATCAAAATTTAAACATGCACCAACACATTAACCTGACTGCACTCAATATGTGTAATTCTTTGCGTGAATATATAATTACAAGTCGGGTTTAATAATGAAAAACTACATATATATATTAAGAGAGGTTTTAAAAGTTTTAGTAACTTTTGGTTTATTTTATACATTTACTCTCGTATGTAAAAAACAAATTTTTTTTTTCGTGCATTAAATCCCATTCACTTTTAATTCACGAATTTTCGCCTAAAGCATGTAATTATGGTCTTAAAATCTGTTTGCAATTGCATGCTTTTTAATTAAAAATTTCAAATAATTAAATAAGATATTATTTTATTGTTCTCTTAAGTCATTTCAATTATTTGTTTAATTTAGTATTTTTAATTCAAATAACTTGAATATATCAAAGCATTCTACTAGTATTATGATAAAAACAATAGTTTTATTAATTATAATGCATAACATTGCATTTTTATAACAGTTCAATGCAAAGAATTTTAAAATGTTAAGTAACTCAATTAATGCAATTAAAGTTGGAAAATGCTGCGCGTGAGCAAAAACCAAATAGTTTTGTAGACAGTGAACATACATTAAGACCGAAAAGTTTTCGGAAATTCTCATTTAAAATTCGCGCGCTGTATATTTTTCGATATTTTAAGTTTATGTAGTTTGGCAGCACTGTCCTTAATTACTATGCCAAAAATGAGCGCGATCTGTCAGACAGTTCGTTTACGGCAGCTGTTGAAACCAGTTCACCTCAGTAGGGCGTTGCGAAAAAAACAATGGAAAAAAATATTGAACAAAGAGTTTGCATCAAATTTTGTGTTTCGAACGAAATTTCGTGTGCAGAATCGTTGCGAATGCTACAAAAGGCTTATGGGGAATCAGTTTTATCGAAAACTCAAGTTTATGAGTGGTACAAAGCCTTCCAGGACGGTCGTACGACCGTCGAAGACATTTCGCAACGCACTACTGAGGTGAACTGGTTTCAACAGCTGCCGTAAACGAACTGTCTGACAGATCGAGCTCATTTTTGGCATAGTAATTAAGGACAGTGCTGCCAAACTACATAAACTTAAAATATCGAAAAATATACAGCGCGCGAATTTTAAATGAGAATTTCCGAAAACTTTTCAGTCTTAATGTATTTTAGTATAGCGCTATATATATATGTCTTAACCATGTATCTAATAAATAATCTATTTAAGCTACAATATCACTTTTTAGATATCAGTTATTCTAAAGTGTACTAACAACAATTTTATGTATACATGTAATTCCTCTAAGAAATTATATTTTCGCTTAAACTAAAGCATATAAGGAAAAGCCGACGATCTTTAAGTAATATTAATAATAATAAAATAACTTTAGACGATGTAATTAAAGTAATATACTAATCAGTATTTTATAACATTTTTTCAATGGTATAAACCCATTTAACTATAGTTTTACCTTGATAAATATTTACTTATTTTTAAAATTCATTAAAATTAGAATTAATAATTTAAATTCATATAGACAATGAATTATATAAAACTAAATTGTATACATTTTTGTATATTTTATTCATCTTGAAAACAAACGTTCTTAGCCTTCAAATGTAACTGTCAGAAATGTCTAACTTTTCTCTTTAATCGAATTCCAAATTTTAGAGTATTTAATTGTAAATCTGCACTGGAGTCAATGTGGAACACACAATAGACCGTTACATTTCCTTAAGGCTCTTCTTTTCAGATGTTTCACTTGTAATGGTTAAATATTCTATGTATAATATTTTTATGCTAATTTTTTTATATATACTATAAATTTAACTTTATAGTGCAATACTTTTCTTAAAATGTACCTTAATTGACAAAGATATTTTCTTATAATGAGTACAAGCATTGATATTTGTTGCTTTTCTCAAAAAATTGTCCATACCTCAGACCATTAAGATAAAATTTTATTCCAATATTTTTTTTAAGGTAATAATATCAATTATTTGTTATTATGTTAAGTATACACCCCAGATCACCGATTCTATATAGATTCTAAAACCAAAGATATAAGAAATCAAATTTCCGACAATGAAATATTTTCCGGTCATATTTAGAATAATTGGGTATCATTTCACTATCTTTTAAGAGATATTCTTAGCTTTAAAAATATGTTAATTTAATTTTTTGGCTTAAAAGACATACTAAGAGTTTCCTGAATAATTACTCTTTTAATATAGTTCGTTAAATAGTTGAATATAGTTTTACAAATGGTCTTAACTTATGCTTGATGTATATGTACTATACACTGTTCCAGAGTGAGCTTAGTATAGCATATAATAGCAAATGATAAAGCTCTTAACTCCGAGTGAAATAAAGTACTGCGGTCTACTTATCCTAACTGTAGGAAAGTCATTTCGCTTTTAGAATGTTGGTCACATATCTCCTTGAAGTTATAAACGTAGCATAATATCATCAAAAAAGATATGTATAAATCGGCTGAAAATAAGCAACTAGCGTTATATTTAAATAATACTATGTACAAAAGACTTAATAAAATATTCATTATGCATATATATGCATTATATACACCTACTTAATATATAAAATGTATAATATATCATTCTTAAAGCTAAGCAATATAGCCCAGCCCTTGTCTTTACTTTGATATAAAGTTTTCTTTTTGTACATATTTTCAATGTATGGTTCGGACTAATGCTGATGACTTACCGAAATATATCAGTATTATGGAAAAGGGATAATACACTGCGACCTAAAAGATCTATTATGCAAAATATATCAGTAGCTCAACTGATATTTTTTAAATAAATTTTTAATTGTTTTGTGAAGTATATATTATTATAAGCATGATACTTTAATTTGTGAGAACAAAATAATCTAAAACTTATCTCTATTTTATATTGACTATTTATTGTATGTATAAATATAATGTGCATTAAAATAGTTAAAAGTTCACCCTAGCGTAACGGCTTCACCTTCAATTAAGACAATTAATTTCAAATAATTTCTAGAGTTAAAAAGTAGAACATTTGAAAAAATAATAGCAATAGATTAGCTCAATTGATCACTAAGACTTTTTTTTTAATTTAGAAACTAATTTTGGCAAATTATAAAATTAAATTAGATATAAGCATAAAGAGCATAAAGTTTAATATCATTGAGAATCACAGCTGAGAATCCATAGCTAAAAACCAGTAATAACTGTTATCAGTCTTGAAACAACCGTGATGAGTTTGTCTAGCAATATTATCTTTTACTTATTGAATATATTTAGATCATATCTCGTCTTTTTGTGATGCGAGGGAAATATTATATCTTGAATATAATAATAAATAATTAATAAATAATTAATAATTAACGCTGTTGAGCAACACTACAGAGGATTTTGTTTAGACTGACAGCAGTTATTACTGTTCTCTGGTCTATTAAATATTAGTTGGTCAAAATAGAACTCTTCCATCTACAGTCTGTCATTTAAAGATACATATTAATTCGTTTTAACCCGCACAGTGGGTAAAAAGACTATTTCAGGATTAGATCATTTTGTTATTAAATATGTTCCTTTTCCTCCGGAAGTTCAAAAATCGATGGCTAAATTACTTAAGTGATGTTGAAAATGTTCTATTTCTGTTTTAAATGCCAATTATAATGCCTTCTATAAACCTCATCGATTCATATTGGTCAATTTTATTCAGCTTTTAGCTTTCTTAAATTTCGTACGAACTATGTTCTCTGGCACAAGAGATCAATTATGGTCACGATGCTCCGCTTCTTTAGCAGCCGGTACTCTGTTTATTTCTATTCTATATTCTCTAGCATCTTTCTATAAATCGCATTGATTCATATCAATTCATCTATTATATTCAGTTGAACATATTTATGTGATGTATTATCTAGCATCCTAATATTTTAAATTATTAAACAAACTTAATTTATTCATAATACTTCCTGAAGCAACATCGCGTAATATTGTACAAACCCAAGTAAGACGATTACCATAACTGAATTTATGCTCGTTTACCTATAAATATAAGTACTTCGGAAACACTTTGCATATTTTAAACGCAATAAACCGCAAAATCCTATTGCAATTTAAAAATGCATTAAATGACGAAGCTTTAGCATAAACATGAACACTAAAATGCAATTGTAATAACACAAAAATTACCATTGAAGCAACAAATACCAAAGAATCAACTTGCAATGAAATGTTTATATACATTTGTGTGTTGACAATTTGCGGAGGTAGTTGAGCCACAAATGTTGCTGATTAATAATGAGGCTTTCAATTGTTGCTGGTATACTAGTACAGTGATACAGTGGTACTTATGATAATGAATAACATAATTATTGCTTGTTATGTAAACAGAAAAGAAAACAATAAATTCCGTCAAAAAAAAAAAAACCAAAAACTGCACATCACTCGTATAACAAATTTACAATAAAATTAAAGAATTACGGGAAAAGTAGCAATGCAGTAGTAAATGAAATAGCAGCAACAAAAAGAGATATTTTCGTTAACGAAAATCATCGTCAGTAATAACAATAAGACAAGCAAATGAAAAAAAAAAAAACATAAGCCACATGTTGCATACTCGCACAAACATTCACAGATGACATAACATAAAAGCGGATTCAGGCATCGAGCGTCATGTCATGCCGGTGTGCCTGCGCAAAAGCAAACGCAAACACAATTACGCTGCCAACAGCAGTTTTTGTTGTTGCTCGATAATGGCGTGACGTGCAAAAACACTTGCTGCAAAAACAAAACAAATCAAAATAAAATAAAACGAAGCAAAAGTATTGGTTAACATATTGAACCACAAAAGTAGGGCCGACAAACACAACACAAAAAAAGAAGAAGACGCTGAAGAAGAAGCAGACTTGCAGTGGTGTTATCACTTTTGCTTTCCATTGTTTCTATTAACAATTTGTTGCTAATAAAAAATTAATAATAGGGTTAATAGATTCCATTGATAGTGTTGATTCATTTAGTAAATGTCATGAAACGTGTAATTTTATTGTCTTGCATACAAATGTTGTAATTTAATATTAAGAAATCTTATATTTGATAATTATTTTTTAAAACAAATAAAAACAAATGAAAAAAAAAAAACAAATTGGCTAAAAATATATTTAATAGCAACACTTGTCCGGCTTTGATTTTGCATAATTTTCAAAATTTTATTAACAAATTTGCTTGTCACATTTTAAATGATTTCGATGAGATTTGTTTCGAATTTTTATTTTAACTGATACATACATTGATACATTGTACATACATAGATATGCACATATATAAATTTAAATAATATATATATTATTAATTTTTTATGTAACTTGTCTTTAGTTGACTAAATTATTCGAGATTATTTTAGACTATTTACTGCTTTGAATGAATTTTAATTAACAAAAAACCTGATTCACTCATAAAATATTAGTAGGTATTTAGCTTCTGGAAAATTAGAAATATAACATAAAATTAATTTAAAAAATTTACTTGTTCTTTATTATATACACATGCTATATTTGGAATATACATAATTTAGTTTATATTTATGTAAACAAAAGATAAATAAGCATAGCTTAAAATTAATCTTTAGGCCATGTGCGAGTTTGAGTAAATTGAGGTAAAGTAAATTGATATTTCCTAGGGATTTTTTGCACTGCATTTATGTATATATTTATTTATTGGATTAATTTATTATTTTTAATTTAAAATTTTCAAATTTATTTATTTATTCATCAAATATCTTATAAAATTTTCAAAATAGTGACATATAATTTACTAAATTTTTATCAAATTCGAAATTCTGGTAAATACCAACATGCGCTGCCATACCGACATAATTTACTATTTCCCTCAATTTACCATCAATTCACTTGAACTCGCACACGGCCTTAATATTTTTAGTTTAATTTGAAATATTTTAATTACTTCTAATAAATTCTATAATAATTAAGTTTAAATAAATTATATATTAATGTGTGACATCTACAAACAAAAATCCCTAACATTATTTACTAAATTAATTAAGCCAGACATTTAAAATCTTAACAAAGTCAACATGTGATATTATTGATGCAAAATAAGTCCGGTAGCCACTTAGAATACACTCAGAAGTAACTCTTCATCTACACAAACACAACTTTCTGTCAAATTAGACAGACCCACACATTAGTGAAATAGTAACGCTGGTCAATATCTCTCCTGAGGTGTCCAGCCAGCAACCTCAGCTTAATATATTTAATATATTGTATATTTTTAATATATTGTCAATATATTATGAATATACTTATATACATTTTTACTTTACCAAAGATTTAAGGCGTTTTTTGCAACCACTTATGTTTTTATATGCAAACACTATAAGCCAATAGACCTAAGTGGCTCCTTAGAATCGTTGCTATAACTCAAACTGACCTACTTATATACATAATTTTTAATATAGCAAATAAGTCGGCACAAAAATTTTATTAAAGTGAAAACTGTTAACAGTTAGTTTTTATAGTTACTTAGTCACTGTTATGTATACAATTATATATATAAATTAATTTTACTTTTTTATTTTTTTTTCTTATTTTATTTTCTTTTTTAATTGTTTTTTTATTTTTGTTTTATTAATTTCAATACTACAATACTACTTCCTGTCTTACGGAAATCATTTTGAAGTCTCAACTTCTATACAATACATTGAATTTTTCATTCAGTAGCCCTGAGCAGTTACCTTAACGTAAAATAAATTCAACCTAAAAGCTCTAAAAAAACTATATAACAATACAATATCTAATCAATTACTCATTTCAACAATTTTTATTTATTTTTTACCCAACAATGTCAATAAAATTATATACGACTATTATGGACACTCATAAATGATTGATTCACATAAAAATTTTTGCACCAAGTAAACATCAAACAATTTTGGCCAGAAAGCAATCAATTTTATGTCTGAAACTGTTTAAGTTGTGGGTCTGTTAAGCTGCAGCAGAAAACACAGGTACCGCTAATGTTAATTACGAGCTTTATGTACTTGGCAGAAGTGTTAATGCTGAGGCGCATTGCCTGAACTTGCCTGTTGACAATTCTGATTAGCATAATTTTGTTAATACACAAGTCAATAGAGGGGAAAAAATACCTCAAGTGCTTTTGACTAATTTATGAACGACCTTGCACAGTCTTAAAATTGCTAAAGAGAAGACAATAATATATTCAATGAAATCGATAAACCATTCAAATAAAAAATATTAATTTATTATAATATCTGTTTGAAAAAAATAAAATGGCACCTGCAATACCAAACGTTTACCCCTGACCGCACAAACTATTCTGTTTTTGATTTTGTTTATTTGTAGTGATGTAGTGATATAGTGTTAGAGACAGATTTTTTATACTTTGACCGATTTGATTATTTTAACAACATCAATTTAGTTTTATTAGTTCGAAAGACAATCTTAAAACTATCGTTAGTTATAGAGAAAAATGCCGAGTCATTTAAGGTCCAAGGTCATGCGGCAGATCACACACCGGACAGTTTAGATATGAAGTGATTTTGAAATAAATTTTTTTTATATTATTTTTTAAAATTACGTTTATGGGTTTAACACACTCGAAAATTGGCCGGTTTTTAATTGAGGCTTTCATTGCGTCTACTGAAGGCTTAACTTAGAAACATGTTTTTAATTTTTGTTTTGTTTTTAATAAATTCATTTTTTTCTAATATAGAGAATATATATATATATATACATAAACTTTGAACAGAAATAACTTTTAAATTTCTATATTTCGTTTCATTTCAGAAACCGTTAAACGTTTATACTTTTAGTCATAAAACTTAAGTCGAAGCGTTAGCATATACGTATCCGTCCATTTTTCTAGAAATTTTGGACTATTTAAATACTCACTTTAAGCCACAACTAACACAAACGCACACACTTTTACAAACACAATGAAGCAACACATATTTGCATTGGCATGCTTATGCAGCGCAGCCGTACTCATATCCGCCGTTCCTCTGCCTGCCAATAACAAGGAATTAGATGTGCTACAGATTCCACTTGCAAATGGAAAGGTAAGTCAATATTTACCAAATTGTATATATTTTGAATTTTTATTTTAAATTTTTATTTAATAACAAAAGTGTTTATATTTACTCGAGAAAAACAGTGCTGAGCTCACTGAATAAACTTGCACTTTAGCAACAGTTTATGAAAGTGCTTACATAAATCAAATCGAATCGAGTTAATAATATCGCTTGAGATTAAATATTTATCTTGAATTTTGTTGAAATACCGGAACTAACTCAAAGAATTCTAACAATGCAGTTGAAGTGCATGACTTAACAAGTGCATTAGAAATTTTTTTAGTATATAAAACAATAATTCTCAATATATGTATTGTGATAAAGTAGTATTGGAATAAAGAATTCAATCATAAAATTGCTATAATTTTTCACTCTTTATGCTATGTCACTTAAGATAACCTATATAAAGAAGAGTGCAAAAAGATATAATAAATAATTCCTACTGAAACGAAATAAAAAGAGTTTTTACGTCAGTATTTAACAATAGACGAAACTTGTCATCGATCATATCATGGACCAGTATATAACAATGGATGAAACTTGCATACACCAGTGCACTTCAGAGTCCAATAGGCTGTCAATTAAAAGGACAACAGCCGACGAACCGCGCTCAAAGCGCCCAAAAACGCTACAAACAACTGGCAAGGTAATGGTATTCGTATTTTGGGTCGACCTTTCCATCGAATTTTCTACACCGACTACCTTCAAAAAAGACCAGACCATCAATAGCGATCGCTACAGACTCCAACTGATGCATTTGAAGGAGGAAATAACGAAAAAAATAGTCTCATATAAGGAACAACAAAGTCCACTTTTGGTTGCTATGGCCAAATTGCATAACTTACACTTCCAACTACTGCCTCACTCACCGTATTCGCCAGATCTGGTGTGCAGAAATTTCTAACTGTTCGCAGACCTCAAAAAAGTGAGCCAAGAAAAGATTTTTGGATCCGCCGAAACTGTAGTTTCGAGAATCTGATGCATATTTAAAAGACAAAGATGAATCTTTACACAAGATTCAGCATGGTATTGAAGTGTTAGAAAAGCGCTGGAGTAATTGTGTTACTCTCAAAAAAGACTTCGTTGGGGAATAATATCGAATTTAGCCAATAATTTGTTTTTCTTTTACTTATTCTACGAACTGATCCGTTGTTGTGTTAATACCTACAACATTTGACTAGAATAAGTCAACTTTGGTGGCTGAACATGTTGGAAAAAATTTACAAAACGTCGGGTGAATGTTAAAATAAAAAAAACCTGAATAAATATTACCTAAAACAAATTTTGATTTGTTCAGTCGTTTGCTATAGTTGATAATAAATCATTAGTATTTTTTACCAACAAATTTCTAATTAACTGCTTAATTTAGATACAAAATGATAAAAATTATTTTAATTTTATTTGAAAATTAGTTTCATCCAATAGTTTGTATTTTCTGTGTTACTTAATGACCGAAAAAAAAATCAAGAAAATTAGATTAATTCTTTTTTGTTCTAACTAAACTACTATTAATACTTTACATAAATGAAAAACGTGTGCTTAAGATATATTTCTGAACTCGAAGTAAACGTGACTAAACTTGTTTGATAAGATTTTACAAAAAAAGTAGTACAAAATATATAACACTTTCAACATATTGCCCTACTTAATCAACAACAAAATGAAATCAACAAAATAAAAGTATCCTTCAAAACTCAAACAATTTTTTATTTCCTTTCAAAAACATACACTTTTATCTGTTAATAGTTTCAATTATTTGCATTTGAGAAGAAAAAAAATAAAAAAAGTAAATGTTATAGCATTACATGGTATAACATGCCTGTGTTTATGTATAAAAAGTAAATCCGGTATTACCAGCAGAAAACCAGTCAATACACGCCATGAGCAACATTTTAAGGAAATAACAGATTTCGTCCGCTTCAGAGTTGCAAAAGAAATCGAAAGTGATTTTATAACAATGGCCAATAATAAACATGATAATTTGGCAGATAATATGCAATCAACTTACATTTTGCTTCTGCGTCCAGTATATAAGCATATAACCATGGATTCCCCAAAAATTTCCAATACTTATCAGACAAAAATGAAAAATTTTTAAATTTGTTGACAAATATTTTTAAACTTTTCATGAGTCTAACAGTCGCCATTGCCAAATACTGCCCACAAATTCCAAGCTCAACACCAAAGTCTGTCGGCGAATGCAATTTTGCGCGGGTAACCAATTAGTTGCACTTAGCAACTATGTATGTAAAACCTACAAAAAACAAAAAAACATGAAAGTGCAACGGCGTGTGCTTAGACTGTTAAACTTCAAATCTATAAATATAAAAAGCCATTTTATATTTTTGCAAGCATTCATATTTGTTTTGAAATAGTTTTTATGTGCTGAAAATGTTACGCTAACTGCCTCTAGCCTTTAGTACAAGCGTTTCAGCTTAGTGGCTTCATCTAGCGAGTACTGCTGTTAATAACTACTCATCGCTAAGTCGTAATTAACCTTTAAACGATTTAACAGAGAATTATGTTTATTAGAATATTTAAAACAATACAGGAATTGTTTAAAGTAAACACTTTCAAAAGTTCAATAAACAAATTTAAAAAATAATTTTTTCCGTTTAACTTTTTGTTGTTAATTGTCATTTCTGAACACTTAAACATTGTAGATCATTTTTATTGATGTGAAATGTTAAACTCTAAAGTACAACATTTTTAACTTCAAAAAGTTTTTCACTATTAAGCTATTATATTTTTAATATCTTAAATATATATCTAGTATATATGTATGTTCCAACTTCGATAATACTCGTTCTTACTTATAAGTGAGTTTGTTATGTCAACTAATTGTGTAATACAAAATATTTTACTTTTGTTTTGGGAACTCTAAGTATATACTCATATACATGTATTCATTATAATTCTATTTATTTAAGTTAAAACCAATCAGAGTCTATGTAGACACTTATATACATTCCTTCCTTATAATTCAGTTTCCTTATGTTAAGCCCAATCAATTTCTAAATAGACACTTATATATATTGCTCTTAACTCAATTTATTTAATTTGAGACCAATCGCGCCCTAAATAGATATTCATACATACACTCCAACTTTCAATTTGTTTAAGTTAAGTTCATTATAATTTAACTTAATTAAGCTAAGACCAATTGTGGTCTAAGTAGACATTCATATATATACATCATAATTCAGTTTGCTTATGTTAAGCCCAATCAAATTCTAAAGAGATATATATATTTTCCTCATAACTCAATTTATTTAAGTTGAGACCAATCGACTTATAAGTTTATATATACTCTCCAACTTTCAGTTTGTTTAAATTAAGAATAATCTAATCATTAAGTTTTAATAAAAGAATCTAAAATAAATTTTAATTGAATTTAGTTGCTCTCAATCCTCAACTTAATAAATTTTTGATAATTTTCTAATAATATTTATTTTTAAACATATTACCAATCACTGACTTCTCAATTATGCAAAAAAAAAATATGTAAAATACTAAAAATATTTTACGAAACTGCTATTTTCGTTGTGAAAAAATGTAGTTCACAACTTATTGTGATTTTTTAAATGCACTTATATTTATAATAAAAACATTAATGAATGAACTCAGAGTCAATGTTAAATTAAATTTGATTATAAGTTTAATAAAGCAAGATCGTAAGATCAGACTTATTACATTTTATTTTTTAATCTTGATTTAAAGATGTATGCATATCAGACAACAATAAGAATAATGTAACTCTCAGGGGAGCAAATCAGTATCTAGGTTGATATCTAGGAGAGAAAAGACTCTCCAAAAAAAGTAGGTTAATGTAATTACTATTGAAAAACTGCTATATACTCACCTAATATAGTGACCTAGAACATATCTATTGAAGAACTATGACGAATTACCAATCAATGCAATATCTGCTCAAAAATACATTAAGGAAAGTATGGTGATTTTTCATTCGTTACGTCAACCCTATGTTAAGCTCCCTTATACAGCGTTGACTTGAAATCCACAAAGTTTAGTACGTCAAGGAAAGCCCCACATAACGCAGAAAAGGTAAATGCTTATTGAAAATAGGAGTTGTAGGAAGTAATTGTACGAATTTGAAGTCCTTTTTTGAAATGCTCAAATTCCTTTAAAGTAATATAGAAATTTTTAAAATAATTTTAAATATCAATTGAAACAATTTATAGGGATTTGGGTTGTATAAATCATCATTTTGGTATTTTATCAAAGTATCATTATTACCTTTCTATGACTTTATTTATAATAATTATTTGTTATTTAATTTAATAATTTATTTGTAATAATACAAATTGCGTTACATGCATAGGCGCAAATTTTCCAAAATATATTTACTAGAAAATGAATAGATTCAGTCCAAATCTAACGTTTCAATCATTTATATATATTAAATCCTTTTATTCCTAGGTGGTACATAGGCCAGTTTTAATGTTGTCGTTTTAATGACAACATTAAATTATAATTTCTTCATTAGTTTCACTAAAACTCATACAAAATCAATTTAAATAATTTACCTTTACATGAACTTGAGAGCTGTTAATTTGTTTTTTATATTATACAATTTATTGAACCTATCTTTATGCAATCAATGGTTTTTTTTATTCTATTTACTGAATTACTTTTTAGTAGTAAATTTTTTAATGGGTCAACAAGCTGCCCACAGCAATTAAGTGATAATTTATATTTATGACAAAAATAAAAATGACATTAAATAATTAAAATGAAATAAAAAAATTTTTACTCAAACATTATTAAACAATATTACATCAATAAAACAAAAAGTGAATAATATTCGAAAGCAGTGAGACATTCGCCAGTATTGCTTGTCAACAAATCGATCATTTCAAGTAACTGGTATTTACTTAAAAACACGTGGTGACTAGCAAAATTACAATAACAAAATGCTAATAACAAATTTCAATAGAAAAAAATGCAATTATATTTTGTTGTTGTAA